GGAAGGAAGGAAGGAAGGAAATGAAATGGAAGGAAGGAAGGAAGGAAGGAAATGAAATGAAATGTCCGGTGCAGTGGTTTTCAATATGTTCACAGAACTATGTAACAGTCTCCACTCTTTAATTTTAGAACGTTTTCATCACCTAAGAAAGAAGCCCTGTATCCATTAGCTGTCACTCCTTATCTCTCCTCCTACAGTTCTGGCAACCAGTCTACTCTGTCTCTATGGGTTTGCCTATTCTGAACATTCCTTATAAAGGAATTTATGTAATGTGTGATTTTTTTTAACAAGTTTTTTTTTTTAAACTTTATTTATTTATTTTGAGAGAGAGAGAGAGAGAGAGATGGCAGAGAAAGAGAATCCCAAACAAGCTCTGCACCATCAGCGCTGAGCCCAACGCGGGACTAGAACTCACCAACTGTGAGATCATGACCTGAGCTTAGATCAAGAGTCAGATGCTTAACTGACTGAGCCACCCAGGTGCCCCGACAAGTTTTTTTTTTTTTTTAAGTTTATTTATTTTTGACCGAGAGAGAGAGAGAGAGACAGAGCATGGGTGGGGGAGGGGCAGAGAGAGAAGGAGACACAGAATCCGAAGCAGGCTCCAGGCTCTGAGCTGTCAGCACAGAGCCTGATGTGTGGCTCGAACTCACACACCGCGAGATCATGACCCGAGCCGAGGTCAGATGCTCAACTGACGGAGCCACCCAGGCGCCCCAACAAGTTTCTTTTTTTTTTTTTTTTTAAGTTTATTTATTCTGAGAAAGAGTCAGAGAGCATCAGCGAGTGAGGGGGAGAGAGAAGGGGAGAGAGAGACCCAAGTAGGCTCTACACTGTCAGCTCAGAGCCCGACGTGTGGCTCCATCTCATGAAGCATGACATCATGGCCTGAGCCGTCATCGCTTCACTGACTGAGCCACCTGAGCGCCCCTTTTGTCTATGGGAAAGTTTGCTGCTCTTTTTCACTTTTTTCCCTAACAGTATCTTTTTTAAAAATATCAGTATTATTGAGTATAACTTGTGTACAAAAAAAGGGCATCCATTAAAATGTCCAATCTCAGTGCCTTTTGATAGAGGCAGACCTAGAGCTGTGAAAGTACCACCAAAGTCAAGATACAGACCATCTGCATCACTCCTAAGATTCTTTGTGCCCCTTTGCATTCTGTCCTTTCCTCCCCCACTGGACTTGGGAAACCACAAAACAGGTGGATTTGCATTTTCTAGCAAGTTATATAAATGGCATCACGTAATATGTACTCTTTTGTGTCTGGCTTCCTTCACTCAGCACGATCCCTGCTGGTGTGTGTAACACACGCACCACAATTTATCCATTCACTTGCTTAGGGATACCTAAGCTGACTCCAGTTTTCTACTGTTACAAATAAGGCTGCTATGAAAACTTGTATACAAACCTGTCTGTGAACGTATACTTTCATTTCTCTTGGCTGGTAATTAGGCATAGAATGTCTGGATCACATGGTTATTTAATAGCATCTTGGTATGGATTTGGAGCCTGTTTTCGTTTTGAGTTTTGTTTTGTTTTTTTTTTTTTAAACTCATAGTTGAAAGGGTTGGATTTTGGAGAGGGGCCCAGGCAGCTAACTCTCCAGGCTTGCAATCCAAGGACTCCCTGGTCTGAGAGCCAAGAAGTTCTCCCGCAGACACAGCACTTCGGTAGCACATGCCTACCCCAGTGGGCTTGGGAGGGTTTTAATCCAGCCCTGCGCCTGCTAGTTCCCTCGTGGCCACAGTGCCAAGTGACGCCATGCCTGCCTTCCAGGGTGAGTCCTTCCTCTTTAGAAGGCATATTTTTGCTGGTGTCTTCTGAGAATCGTCACCACTGAGCAATTGTTGGGACTTCTCTTTCCATCTTGCCAGCACTGTTCAGTCTTGTTCAGTTTAGAGTTCCCGTCGAGGTTGGGGAAAGGGCATTTCTTCTTCCATTGGAGGGATCCGGGGTCTGCCCCCCACTGCACCCCTGCCCAAGGCTCTGCCGACACTCTGTCTTATTCTCCTTGTAGGACTCAGGGTGGAGTTCACGTTCACGAGGATGGGCTGACAGTGACATCTCCAGTCCTGATGTGGGTCCGGGTAAGCATAGGGATCCCTGACCTTCTCCTGGCCCCAGCCTGTCTCACTGGCGGACTTGCTGATTTACTGGGAAGCCCTCTGTTGAGACCAAGTCTTCACTGGGAAATGGAGTCTGCATGGTTCCTAAGGCTAGACTCAGCCTCAACTGGTCCTCTTGAGCCAAGAGGACACGCACAGGGCTTGTAGGTCTGGTGCTGAGAACTTGCAAGTCCTGCCAGTGAGTAAGCATCTTCAGAATGCCGCCTTCCCAAACCTTTGCCAGACACTCTGCAGGCAGGCCCCGTGGCCTCCCTTTTACCCCGAGATCCAGACACAGCACTGGTGTCTTCGTGCTCAGCCCCCAGAATCCTCAGCTCTTGAAGCAGGGGAACTTCTCAACGGTGGCTTATGACCTGACCAGTCAGGTTCCGCTGGACCCCAAGACAGGCCTGCCTGCTCAGGACCAACAAGAAAGGAAGATACCTGTAGCCAAATATGGGCGACCCGTGAAGCCGCAGGACCAGGGGTATGGCCAGTACAGACCACCATAATAGGGCTGGAGTCTGCCTCAGGGGTCCCGAGACCCTACAACTGGGAGCCAGCTAAAGGCTGTCCTTAATGTGTCCACCAAAGCTTGTTCAGGCCTCCAACACTGGTCTAAGCAATTAATTCCCTATACCGAATTCTTTCTGTTAGGACAATTGGTGTGATTTTTAAACATTTTATCAACTTGACCCTGACTCATACTGGAGGATTGGGGTAAAGGACAGATTTCCACCAGACAGGCCAGCCAGAATGTACTTGTTAGGGCTGAGCCCCAGACCAAGGGACGGTGGGCGTGACAGGCAAGAGTTGATCTAGAGGTTCTACTGATAATGCCGGGGGCTTCTGATAGGCCAAGGCTTTAACTTGGGGTAGTGAGCACTGGATAGAGAGCCAGGCTTGGGGGTGGGGCCACGTGATTTCTAATCGTGAGCAGGCCCGTCAGGATTGGACCTGTCCTGGCTTCGCCAATCCCCATTCCAGGGGTGCCCCACTCCCTGCCTGAGGTTTGGCCAGGGGGGCCAAGTTGGCAGCCACAGCCAGGGCTGTGAAAGGAGCCCTCCCAGCATAGGGGAGGGGATGGCGAAGTTGGGTCAGAGCTCCAGGGGCTGCTCTGTCCTCAAGGGAATCGCAGCCTGGGGTGAATCTCTAATCCTGCCCTGAAACCTTAGGGCAAGTGTCGGGTTCTTCGGGGCAGCACCGTTTATCCCACGCTTGGGTCTTGCAAAAAAAGAAGATTGCATCCAGATGGGAGAGGGTGGAACGGGGATTGGGACAAGTGGCGACCGTCTCCACTTACTCCTTCCAGCCTGGTGCTCCTGGACGTGGGGAGTCTAGGCCTGGTCCCCACTCTGACGGGGCCGTCTACGTCACTCTTCACTTCTCTGTTGCAGTGAAGTCAGACCACTGGTCCGGTGGGTTGAAAATGCAGAGAAAAGAAACCACACTATGATCCACCTTGTTCCTGCCAAGTGCTTGGAAGTCACAAATCGGAGAAGCAGAATTTGAGGACCAGTGGTTTCTGATTCCATCTATTTAAACTATGTTTACCCTACTTCACCTTTTCGTTTGGGTGATCTCTGCTTTGGTTAATTATTCTAGTGCCTACGTATCCCAGGCCATCAGCTCTTCTTCATCTCCGGGGTGATGGCGAACACTTATGTTTCAGTGTGGAGGCTCGTGGGCTTGCCTGACTCAGCGGTTCAGGACAGTCACGGTGGGCTCTGTTTGTCTTCTCAGGCTTTGGATATCATCTTGGAGAGGATGAAGGCCTCGGGCTTTGACTTCTCTCAAGTCCTCGCCCTGTCTGGGGCCGGCCAGGTTTGTGTGTAGCAGCCTCCGTGCGGCGTGCGGGGCGGCTGTGGGGCAGTGGTGTGGGGCTCCCCTGGAGGGAATGCTTGTCCTTGAGAGCCACTGCACCCCTGCTGTTGCTGGTAGAGACCCCTACCGCCCTCCGACCTCAGAGGATGTATAGCTTGCCTCCTCGCTGAAGGATCTGAGGCAGTTCGTACTGTGAAGCATTATACGGAACAGGACACTGGGTCAGGCAGAACCGGATAGAGGTCCTCCGGTGGGGTGGGGGGAGGCGTTTGCCGTGTATTTAGGATGCCTGCTTTGGAGCACTAGAATTGCTTTTGTGTTTCCTGGAAGCAGAAGCAAAGTTAGAAATTATACTTCTAGGGGCGCTTGGGAGGCTCAGTCGGTTAAGCATCCAACTTCGGCTCAGGTCATGATCTCATGGGTTGTGGGTTCGAGCCCCGCATCGGGTGCTGTGCTGACAGCTCAGAGCCTAGAGGCTGCTTCAGATTCTGTGTCTCCCTCTCTCTTTGTGCCTCCCCTGCTCGAGCTCTGTCTCTCTCTCTCTCTCAAAAGGAGATAAACATTTAAAAATAAATTTAAGGGGCGCCTGGGTGGCTCAATCGGTTGAGCGGCCGACTTCAGCTCAGGTCATGATCTCGCGGTCCGTGAGTTCGAGCCCCGCGTCGGGCTCTGTGCTGACAGCTCAGAGCCTGGAGCCTGTTTCGGATTCTGTGTCTCCCTCTCTCTGACCCTCCCCTGTTCGTGCTCTGTCTCTCTCTGTCTCAAAAAAATAAATAAACGTTAAAAAAAAAAATTTTAAAATAAATTTAAGGGGCACCTGGGTTAAGTGCCTGACTTCAGCTCAGATCATGATTTGATCTCACAGTTTGTTAATTCGAGCCCCACGTCGGGCTCCCTGCTGTCAGCACAGAGCCCGCTTTGGATCCTGTGTCCCCTTCTGTCTCTGCCCTTCCCCGGCTCGTGCTCTCTCTTTCAAAAATAAACAAACATAAAAAATAATAAATAACACAAATAAATTTAAAAAATAAAGTTTATTAATCTTTGAGAGATCATGCACATGAGTGGGGTAGGGGTAGAGAGAGAGGGAGGGAGAGAATCCCAAGCAGGCCCTGTGCTGTCAGCACGAAGTGTGACTTAGGGCTGGATCCCACAGACCATGAGATCGTGACCTGAGCTGAAATCCAGAGTTGGACACTCAACTGACTGAGCCACCCAGGCACCCCTAGCTACTGCTTTTATCATCATTGCCATTTATATAGGAACCCAGAGGCACAGAGGGGTGACGTCACCTACCCCAGGTCACACAGCTGCTGGGAGGGGGAGTCAGGACCCAAGTTGAGCTGTATCCTCTGAATCACTTTGCTCCATGTCTAATTAGCCTATTTTCACATCCTCATCAGAGAGTGCTTACTGAGTTTTCTAAAGCCACCTTCTCTCTCTCCCTAACCCGACAGGAATTTATTGCTCCTGTCCTTGTTAAACTACATGGGTTCTCTGAGTGATCTCATCCACTTCTCTTACCTAAACCTCAGGCTGGGACACCCTGTCCCTCCTGGGCATCCCCCGGCCCCATGGCCAGGTATCCCAACTTCTGTGCTAGACTGAGTGGTCTGTCTTTTCCCAGGGCCACAACCCACCCATCATCCTTGACCCCATGTCCAAGGGGGTCCCCATGTCCCATTGATTTGTTACATGACTCTTGAATCTACCACCTTCTCTCCAATTTTGCCTCTGTTGCCCCAGGCCGAACGTCTATGATTTTTCTCTGGGTCTCTGCTTCAGCCTCCCTGCCTCCCCTGTACCTTCTTTGTGACTCCCCCAAACCCTTTCATACATTTAGCCCTGGCCACGTCACTCCCCTGCTAATCCAGAGTTCCCACACCTCCCCGATAAACCCCAGCCTCCTGAGTACGGACGTCAAGGCCCTGGTGCTCAGGCTGTCCCCACCACCTCCCACCTGAGACCCAGCCCACTGTTTAGAATGCCACCATTCCGGAGAGCCTGGGTGGCTCAGTGATTAAGCGTCCGACTTCAGCTCAGGTCGTGATCTGGTGGTTTGTGGGTTCGAGCCCCGCATCGGGCTCTGTGCTGCTGGTGCAGAGCCTGCTCGGGATTCTCTCTCTTTCCCTCTCTCTCTCTGCCTCTCCCCTACTCATGCTTTCTCTCTCTCTCAAAATAAATAAACTTAAAAAATAAATAAATAAAAAGAATGCCACCATTCCCCACGCCTGCCAACCTCTCACCTGTGGTTGCTCTCTGCATGGAACCCCCACACACTCAACTCTCAGCTCCTTTCCTACTAATCATGTCCACCTCTACCCATGAGTGCTCCCTGTTGGTTAGATGCCCCTCCTCTGTGTTCCCGCTGCCCTGCCACTGCACATCCATGGGGTTTTATAATTGTATGTTTGTGTCTTTTTCCCTGCGTCAACCCCCGTGTCAAGAGAATAGGGACAGTACTATCCTATTCATCTGTCTCATTGCCTGGCATGATCTAGGTGCTCAATAAATGTTTGTTGAATGAATGAATGGGTAAGTGACTGAAGGCGTGAATTTCAGATAATATTATGAGCAACATATTTAAATACAACTTTACGAAATTACCAAAATCCAGACCAATAATTCTTTCTCGGACCCTTCCTGTAAGTTTTGAGGTGAACAGGGCAGAGCTCTCATTTTCTAGAAATGAAAACCAAGTCTCACAAAGGTGATGAGTTCTGTGACTAAGAAGTGGCAGGGGCAGACTTGGAGCCCGTTTCTTTCGGGGTGTGGTCTGCAGTCTTTCTGTGTCTCCAAAGTGGTAACGGTGTGTAGCCGCGTGAACGTGTGCGTGCGTTTTCCCTCGACAGCAACATGGAAGTGTATACTGGAAGGCTGGGGCCAGCCAGGTGTTGAGAAGCCTGTCACCAGACCTCCCGTTACATAAGCAGCTGCAGGTAACCGTGGCCATGTTGTGGGAGTCTGAGAAAATTCTGTGGGGTGGGGTGAAGGGCCCAAGCCCCTGTGGGCCCTGAAGTCTGGGGCTTTTGTGCATTGTCAAGGGTATAGGAACTTGGCTCCGGCAATAGTGCTGTGAACATGGTCTGCCCTGCCCCCCAATGGGTATCCCTGGTGTCTGAACAGAGGGTGGGGTGCCAACAGTCCTCATCAGAGGGTCCCTTCCGGTCTGGCATGGCTCTGGCTAGTTCCCCGTTCGGGGATCTCCCCATGGAGCGTGCTGCCTCCTGGTGATGCTGGGAAGGCAGGCTGTGTCTTCTCCATGCTTCCCAGCTTCAGATGCCTCCGTGACACTGCACTTGGCTGCTCATCTCTAGTGTTGCCTGCAGTGCTCAGGTGTCCTTATTAGAACCTTCAACCTTGAGCTTTCTGGGGAAAGACCCCGCGGAGCCAGGTCAAGATTTGGGCACGAAGGGCTTGCCCGTGGGTTTTCCTAGGTCACATGCAATCACTGCCGTGATTGGCAGTGTAACCGCCAAGGCCAGGGTGGCTCCCAGAGTCAGCAGGCATCGTTCCAGCCTGCACCTTTGTTCCTCCCCTCCAGGCCTGTTTCTCCATCAGCGACAGCCCGGTGTGGATGGACTCCAGCACCACAGCCCAGTGTCGCCAGCTGGAGGCCGCGGTGGGCGGCGCCCAGGCTCTCAGCTGCCTCACAGGCTCCCGGGCCTACGAGGTGCGCCGCACCTGCCACGGGCTGGGGATTAGGGTTGGTCCCGGGAGGAAGGTCCGGTTGCTGGCTCTGGTCCTTTCTGGCCCCTTCTCCCTGGGTGTCTGGGAGGACACAGCTGCCGACCCACCCCCAGGGGAATCACAGGAGACACGTGGGTGTCTGGCCCCTGGGTCTGCTCCCGGTTGTCCTGCTTCCCTCTGCTGCTGGCGAGCCAGGACGGACCTCCTGTTGCCCTTTTCGCAGAAGGGAGCTGAGGCGTGGACGTGGCTGTGCTCCTCGTGTCGAGCGGCCCTGTACGGGGGCGACCATGGCACCTCCGCTTCAGCGTCTAAGCGGGGGCCAAAAATAGCACCCACACTTCGAGCAGTTTTGAACCCGAGAGGAGTCAGTGCGTGTAAGGCAGCGCCTGGAAAAGTTCCAAAAAAGAAAAAAAAAGCCAGCTTCGGTTCCCGCTGCCTTCAGCCACCCTTCCAGGGCCGGCTGCGACTGGCGCAGCTGGGGTCATGTGACCCCTCCTGCCTTGAGAACAATGGGGGGGGGCGGTGAAAATACCCTGCGCAGGCGCTGTTGGTCAGCTTCGCCGTTACCTTGCGGGTGAGGAGCTAGGCTTATTCCTGGAGGGTGTTCAGCAAACATTTCTAGAGTCGAGGCCTTGAGAAAGCTTCCATTGTGCTAATATCCAGAGCATGCTACGCTAACCTCACTTTGTGAGAGCCGATCATTGCACATAGGTTATGGATTTTTAAGAATTTGCGCTCTTCTCTGCAGCGATTTACGGGAAACCAGATCGCGAAGATTTACCAGCAGAACCCCGAGGCCTACTCACACACGGAGGTCGGTTCAACGTTCCTCTTTGATTTCAGTCACAGTTGAATTCCTTTTATAATACTTACCTTTAGTATAAATACATCTTGCGCGCATTGGCCAAAAGCATGGATTAGCAGACATTGAAAATGATATATTCAGTTTGGCTTTTTTTCCCCTCTTTGTCGAGCTGTTTCCAAAGAGGAAGGAATGAATGGAATCGTGGGAAAGAGAAGTCAGGGTCTCTCTTGACCCCAGAGGGCAGGGGCAGGGTGGGAGCACTGGGGACTGGTGTCTTCGGCCACCTGAGTAGGAGTTCCAGGTGCCCTTTAGTCTCTGTCTTCTCAGTTTCCTGCGTGGAAATGGCTACCAGGCACTTGATTGGTGTGGGCTCAGTGTTTTCTCCAGAAATGTGGAAAGCTGAACCCCTGTGTCCCTAGCTGTGGCCCTTCAACCGGAGCCTGTGTCCCAGAAACTCAGATTCATTCCTTGGACCACGGTCGCCGAGAGCTGGCACTTAATGCCGCCTGAGAAGCAGCCTTGACACCTTGGCTAGTGATTTTCATCTCTGAATAATTAGAAAACGATCAGCTCATGTTCAACCAAAGTGCCTTTTTAATCTTGGGAGTTAACAGCATCCGGTTTGTTATTTAATGACTCAGGGTTCCAGATTACTCTGCAGCATGTGCTGTGTAGATTTCGGGGAGGAGGGGAAGGGCAGAGATGTAAAACCCTCTCCAAATTCCGTGTGGAACCAAGGTGGCCTGAGGGGGGACGGGACAGGAGGTGCTGGCATTCTCTGCAGTGGTCCAAGGGCCTGCGATTCCCGCGTGGAAGCACAGACCCCCAGGCCAACATTTGAAATCCATTATCAGTCCTCCAGCTCCTGAGGGACTGGTTTTTGCTTAAGTTGCTCTGAACCCCCGAGGGTGTCTTTGTTGGTTCTGAGTCCTGTGGCCACACACACCCCCCCCCCCCCTTCCCTTGTGACTTAGATATAAAGACCACAGGAATGGAGGAAGGAGATCAGGCATCACACCTCCTGGATTCTGGGTAGAAAAGCCACTTCCCTAAGCACGGCTTTTTCATAGGGCTTGTTGCTTTTTTGCTTTGTCGGACTTGAGTTCTATGGCCCAACAGAAACGGCAGCGTGAGGTGCTCTCCCAAGGAGTCTTGGTGATCCAGATACCCGGATGTTCTAGTACCCAAGATATTCAGTCACTACCATTACGGGGCACCTTGCTCCAAGTTTCCACTTCCCTCCTCAATTGAAAGCTCTTCTCATGTTGTGCGCATCAGAGGATTCGGTGGCTTATGGAAATGAGTCCTAGCTGACTGTTTCTTCCTTTTACAGAGAATTTCTTTGGTCAGTAGCTTTGCTGCCTCCCTGTTCCTTGGGTCTTACTCTCCTATCGACTGCAGTGATGGTAAGCCTTCAGAGTCCCGGCGCTGGCCTGTTCCGTATGCACGTGCACATGTGGGGCTGTGGGCAGCGTGAGCCCTGTCCACCCGGCTGGGTGCTAGTCTTTTAGCCCTGTCGTCTGTTGCTGAGAAGGGAGCATATTGTCTTCTGCTGTGTAATGAATGTCCCCGGTGCTTAGCAGCCGAAACCACAAGTGTTGATGATCTCACAGAATTTCCGCAGGTCTGTAATCTTGGAGCAGCTTGACTGGCTTGTGTGGCTCAGGAGCTCTCATGGGGTGGCCTTCAAGCTGGCAACCAGGACCAGTCATGTAAAGGCTTGACTGGGGCTGGAGGATCCACTTCCAGGGCTCCAGACAGAACTGGTTTGAGGCCTGTGTTCCTCTCCATGTGGCCCTCCCATAGGACCACTCACGACACTGGAGCTGGATGCCCCCCCCCCCCCCCCCCCCCCCCCCCCACCGCCGGGTGAGGGATGAGAGGAGAGTGCAGTCAAGCAGAAGCTGCAGAATCTTTTACACCTTAGTCTTGGAAGTGTCGTACGTCCCTGCTGCCCCACCCTACTGGTCACAACAGGCCTCCCCAGGTATAGGAAGACAGGGACCTCACAAGGTGTGAACACCGGGGCTCAGGGCTGAGCACGAGCCATCTTGGAGCCTGGCTCCCCCCGGGAGTTGTTTCTTGGGGAACGCAAGAGAGTGGTGAGCTTCTGGAGTCCAAAACCTTGCCCGAAATAACTGCGGGTGATGCCAGGGAGGAAGGAAAGCTGGGACAAGGCTGCCGAAGGCACTTTTGCATGAGGCCGGGCTGCAAGGCCTGCCAACAGAAGAGGGGACCAGAACGCAGAGCAAGAGCCCAGGCCTATGAACGTGGCTTCAGAGGAGTCTTGGAATGCTCAGAGCCTCCTGGGACTCCATCTGGAGTGTTTGAGTGCTGTCGTATGCCAGCTGTTATTCTAGTGTTCAGGGAGAGGAAGCCGGTCCCCCAGCTTCACTCACAATCTGGAGAAGAGAAGGTTCCCACAGGTAGCTCCGGAGAAGTGAGACCAGCAGAACCCTGAGCCTGGAACAGCATGTGTCCACTTGTGTTCGCCACACCTCCCCTGGGGCTGTTTGTGCTGCGGGGGGAAAGTCACAGCCCCACTCCCGGGGCGGTCCAGAGGTTCGCGTTTTTCAGCCTCAGCCGGACCCTCCATGCCGCTGTCCTCACCCCCCTGAGAGGTCATCCCCTGATTTACCTGTGGTCCGACCTCCTCACCTGGGTGCATGACTCCATTAGCATCCCGGCCGACGTCTCTGTGCCTCCACCTGGACCCAGGGGAGGGGGAAGACAGGAGTCCTCCTCTTGTGCTCTGGCTCGTCTCCCCCTCGCCATCCTCAGGAAAGCCTCGGGAGCAGTAGATTGTTTTCAGACAGGCTTAGCTTCCCTCGATAAGTTACATGTGATTGGGAAATCCTCAGGGCTGACCCACATCAGCACAGGGCTGCCTCCAAGCAGACACCTTGAACCCAGGGGCCACAAAGAACAGTGCCTGGTCTACGTATTGTCGGGTCTTAGGGCTGCAGATTTGCAGGCTAATGGTGGAGCTCGAGCCCATGAGGGATATGCGGAGGAGGCGGGGCCGTGTGTTTCCAAGGGCCCCTGCGGACCTCATGTTTGCCAGCTCCATAATGACCCAGGCACACCATATACGTTCCGGTGGGAAGAGGTCCAAGTATAAGTTTGCTGCAAGAGAATGATTGGCTTTCTGCCCCACTTGTACATTTTCCCGAAAGGTCCTTTCTAAAGATGTTTCTGTTTCTTGTTTCCTTCATTCCCTTAGGTTCTGGAATGAATTTGTTGCAGATCAAGGACAAAGTCTGGTCGCGGGTCTGCCTTGCTGCCTGTGCTCCTCATTTAGAGGAGAAGCTTGGCTCACCAGTACCGTCCTGCTCAGTTGTGGTAGGTCCTCTTTCCGGCGGCGTGGCTCCTTTAAGAGCTGGCAGCTACTGGGGAAAGCAGTGTACAAGAGAAGCGTTTGACATGTCAAAGCCGAACGTCTTGATCAGTGCCTTGCATTTAGCAGGTACTCAGGTGCAGGTATATATGACTGCCTCGTGGCGGTGAGGTGTGGGGTAGGGGGACTTAGGAAAATTCTGCTAGAAATTTATTAGGATAGGAAGAAAAGTTGAAGGTATAAGTTGTGGGTGATTGCAAACGTTAGGAAAAAATACACAGAATGCTGAAATTCTTGGGGTAGGAACCACCTCTGAAGCTTGAAGGAGGCAGAGAGTAGGAGTAAATACAAAGAGGTGCCAGGAAGCTACGGAGAGCGTAGTCCCTGGCACCGTATTGCCCAGGCTGGAATGTCGTCTCTGCCATTTGCCAGCTTTGTGACTTTAGTCTGTTCCTCTGTTTCCTCATTTCTGTTGTTCCTGAAGGAATAATGATACTTTCTATGTTGTCAGACTGATGTGCAGAATAAACAGGTCGATGCATTTAAAGTTTATTTATTTATTTCGAAAGAGAGAGAGAGAGAGAGAGAGAGAGAGAGAGAGCGCACAAATAGGGGAGGAGTGGAGAGAGAGGGAGGGAGAATTCCAAGCAAGCGCCACGTCGTTAGCATGGATGCAGGGCTTGAACCCACGAACCGCGAGATCATGGCCTGAGCCGAAATCAAGAGCTGTGCGCTCAGCCAACTGAGCCACCCAGGTGCGCTGTAAGTGAGCTGATGCATTTAAAGTGCTCAGGATAGTTCTCGGTCCCAAGGGCAATATGAAAAACATTTAGGGCAGCCACATGGGAAAGGATGAAGCAGGACCACTCTTACACCACACACAAAAATGAGCTCAAAATGGATGAAAGACTTGAATGGAAGACCTGAAAGCATGGAACTCCTAGAGAAAAACAGGTGTTGGTGATGATTTTGGGGATTTGATACCAAGAGCAAAGGCAAGAAAAGCAAGTGGGGCTATATCAAACTTAGAAGCTTCCGCACAGCAAAGGGAAACCATCGACAAAACTGAGAGGCCGGGGGCCTGGGTCCCTCGGTTGAGCCTCTGACTCTTGATTTCGGCTGAGGTCATGATCTCACGGTTCCATTCGTGATTTTGAGCCCCTCGTGGGGCTCTGTGTTGGAGATACACAGCCTGCTTGGGATTCTCTCTTTGCCCCTCCCCGTGCTTTCTCTCTCTTTCTCTCTCTCTCAAATAAACTTCAGAAAACCAAAAATGCAACCTATGGGATGGGAGAATATACATAAAAATCATGTATCTGGGGGCACCTGGGTGATTCACTCGGTTGGGCGTCCGACTTTGGTTTAGGTCATGATCTCATGGTTCATGAGTTGGAGCCTCACGTCGGGCTCTGTGCTGACAGCTCAGAGCCTGGAACCTGCTTCAGATTCTGTGTCTCCCTCTCTCTCTGCCCCTCCCCCACTCATGCTCGCTTGCACGCTCTCTCTCTCTCAAAAAATAAACATTAAAAAAATTTTTTCAAAATCATGTATCTGATAAGGAGTTAGCATCCAAAATATCTAAAGAACTCACACAACTCTGTAGCAAAAAGACAAACGGTGTGATGAAGAACATTTAACCATTAGCACGACACCCCCATTCAGAATACACACTGGCTGGGTGTATTTGCCTTGGTTTCCCCCAGTTAACTGACTTTAATTCTAGGCTGCTCTCTGAGGAGAATGGAGTAGACAGCTGGGCCCTGCCCTCAGGGGCCCTTGTCAGGAACATGTGCCACACACAGAACGGCTGGGTGGTTGAGGATGTCAGCAGGAAGGAAGGAGAAGGGTCCCTGAGGCCTGAGGAGGATGATGAGAAGGATCAGGCTGCCACTGTGCTGCCCGTTCAGAGTCCCAGCCACAAAAGCACTTTTCTGAGATCAGCACCGATGTACAGAGCTTAGGGAGGGGCGTCCCCCGCCTCGGAAGGGGGACAGTTCAGGACCCAGCATTGCTGAAGCACAGCAGAAGGAATAAGGAAGGGCCAACAGGAAACAGCCCAGCCTCTGGGATTGGTATTCCATGCACGGCTTCTGGTTTTGTGTGAGATGGGAAGCAATGTTTTGTCCACGGCAACAGGCTTTGTTTTCCTTATGCCGGGAACACATGCCTCCAGGAGGGAGCTCGTGCACAGACTAGCAGCTTGAGGAACCAAAAAGAACCGATTCTGAAAAGCATGTTTTCATTTGTAACAGATGCACCCACGTGATGGGGGGGTCGGGGGACGGGGACAAGCGGAACCGGTGTTTCCCATCATCCCTTCTTCGGAAGGTGGTGCCCAGGCAGCTTTCACGTTTTTTGCAGGAAGATATCTGGAGATGGATGGTATTGGACGCTTCTCCAGCCCTGCCTCGCAGCCTCCTAACCCATCTGTTTGACCAGCTGCTGTGGCTTTTCAGTGTCACCTGGCCGCAGCCTGCCGGGGTGGGATCTCCCCTCCCTTTCCGCCCAGGGCTTCTGTGACTCCATGTTTGTGCTCTGCAAACCTGGAGGTCCAGGGAGTTAACATCCCAGGGGACACCCTTCAGTAGCGGGGGCCTGTGGAGATGTGCCCCTCGCCCCGTTCCCAGGTGGACAACCCCCAGATCCTTTACATGGCTCCTCGGACGCTGCCCACAGTGGTGACCAGCTTGACAGTGTACCCTTGGGTGGCCTCTCCCTCCTCCCCAGGTCCCCTTTCGTTTTCTGGGGTCACTTTCCCAAATAAGCCACCTGCACACGAACTCTGACTCTGGCTCTGTTTTTGGAGGCAACGGGGTCTGAGACATTTCTCTCCCAGGAGATGGCTTATTCTGATGTAAGACTGAAATTTTGCTATAAGGAGCAAAATTTCTTTCTAGGCCCCAGGAAAGCCCATCATTTATTTCAAACTTTTAGAACTAAGGTAAAGTCAGGGAAAGCGGGGGGAAACAGTGTCTCTTTTATAGCTGTGTTTTCTATGGGTCTGTCCAGCGGGTGTCTCTGATCTCTGGTCCCACAGCTGCCCTTGGAGGAGCCTTGGGGGCCATGCTTCTCAGGGGAGTTCCCTCCCCCACACTGCCATTTTTTTGGTTTATTTTCTCTAGAAAGTTGACCTCTGCATTTGCATGTTGATTCTTCTTCTTTTTTTTTTTTTAATGTTTATTTTAGAGAGAGAGAGAGAGAGAGAGCACGCTCACAAGCAGGAGAGGGGCAGGAGAGGACCAGAAGCAGGCCAGCACAGAACTCTATGTGGGGCTCGAACTCAGAACCATGAGATCATGAACTGAGCTGAAGTCGGCGGCTTACCTGACTGAGCCACCCAGGCGCCCCGCATGTTTGTATTTTTTTTTTTTTTTTTTTTTTTCAACGTTTATTTTTGGGACAGAGAGACAGAGCATGAACGGGAGGGGCAGAGAGAGGAGAACAGAATCGGAAGCAGGCTCCAGTTTTGAGCCATCAGCCCAGAGCCTGACGCTGGGGCTCAAACTCACGACGCGAGATCGTGACCTGGCTGAAGTCGGACGCTTAACTGACTGCGCCACCCAGGCGCCCCTGCTTATTCTTAATCAGATTGCTGGGCTGATAGAATGAGTATGTAAGGCATTGTGTCCTTCCGTGAATTTGCTTACTGTGTGTCCACTGGTTATGTATTTACCATTAATGCTATACCAGAATGTGGAGCTTACGAAAAAAGTACAAGATGGGGATTGGTTTGTTCTAGCTGCCTCTCAAAATCCAGTGGTGTTCAAGGCAGTGGGATGACCTTAAATTTATAGTTCCAAGCCTGTGCTGGGTTCCTCTGGCTTTTTGTGAACAGGAGGGGACATCCTGTTGCGACATCCCTTGGGAGTGATGTGAGTGCAGACCCAGTGACCTGGGGCTTGTAGCATTCTTGCAACCTGCAATTTGGACGGCTGTGAACAGGTGGGATTTGCTTCTCCTCCCCAGGGAGCCATTTCTTCCTACTACGTCCAGCGCTATGGATTTCCTCCAGGATGCCAAGTGGTGGCCTTTACTGGGGACAACCCTGGTGAGTACCTTGCAGGATTTCACTCTCCCAAGTAGCCTGACTGGGTCCATTTGAGAATGTCAGCCAGTCCAGCCTCTTGAAACCCTTCCTCCCTGGCCACCTGCCACACTGCTGGCCTGTAATCTGCTTCCTTGTACCTGCCCCACCTTGGTTCTGCCTCTGCCTCTGCCTCTGCCTTCTGGAGCCACTGAGGGCTCCCCCTCCGCCCCAGGTGAGAACTGATCAGTGGTTAAGGAGGGTAGTCCTGCCCACCACCCCCCTTGCAACTGCCTTTTCTGTTCCAGGCTAAACATCTCAGTTCCTCCAGCCCTTCCTCTGGGACGTGGTCTTGGGTCTCCTCCCCATCATTTGCTCTATGGATATGAATTATTCCTCATCCGAACACCTTTCCCTCCCCCAGCCACTCCAGGAGGGGTCATCAGGTCTCTGAAGAAAGGCCAGATGGCCACACTGTACCACCAGACCGCTGCCCCTCAGCCCCACCCCCGGCAGCCCTGTCCCTAACGAGCCACCAAATTAGGATTGCCAGGTAAATACAAATACAGGGACAGGACACCCAGAGTAACTCCCATTTCAGAGGAACAACAAATAATAATGTAATGTAAGCGCATCCCTTGCGATATCTGTATTTCACATAACCACAATGATTTTTTAGCGTAAGTATGTCCCAAAGCACGTTTCTCTGAAATTCAGTTTAACTGAGTGTCCTCCACTTTGTCTGGCAACTCGACCCTAAATCACCCTCCTAGGCTCCTGCTCTAAGGAAGTGAGGGTCAAGTAACGTGGCCGAGGACCAGGGTCTGCTGTCCAAGGGAGGCTGACTTCCCTTCGTAGAGTCTCTCCTGCTTTCCTCCGTGGTCAGGGAACATGCGTGGCTCTCTGTTCTTTCTTTCTTTTTTTAACTCTTTTAATGTTTATTTTTGAGAGGGGGAGACAAGAGAGAGCGACCAGGGGAGGGGCAGAGAGAGGGAGACACAGAATCCAAAGCAGGCTCCAGGGTCCCAGCTGTCAGCACAGAGCCTGAGGGCGGGACTCAAACCCACCGACTGTGAGATCATGACCTGAGCCAAAGTCGAACGCTTAACCGACTGAGCCACCCCGGCACCCCGTGGCTGTCTGTTCTATTTCACTCTCCTTTGAAACACATTTCTTTCTATTTTCAGACGTCAGCCCTTCTCCCGGTTTCAACACCCACTAGCCTCCCTGTACTTTGCTTCTGTTGGCTGTGTAGACGAGCAGGATATGAGCATCAAAAATAAATAGAGGCATGTGTGCCTAGGAGTGTAGTTGTATGCCTCGAAATAGAGCCCTGGTTAAAATTCATTCTTAATAACAGTGGCTATATTATTAGCAGTAGTATTCGATTCCATATTTTCTGCGGTGTCTGTGTATGTTTTCGTGATGAGGAAAAAACATTTAAGTCACTGCTGTTCAGCCACTACTACAAATAACACTCATGGTGTTCCTCAGTCTGCTTCCGGCCTGTCTGCTCTGGAGCTGAGGGGACAGCTAGCACGTCCCCGCCACGCTTGTGGCCGCATCTGTGACCTGTCTCTCCCGGGACAGCTGTGGCTCTGGTATCTGGGGGGATCCCCAGGAGCCAGACAAGGGCCCTTCCTGTCCCTGAGCAATTTCTGTAGACGATCGTGCGGAACCCTATTGTCAGAGCACAGAACCAAACAGACCAGGTTTTGGAGGAAGGATCCCAGTGTTCCTGGTCCAAAGGTGAAGGGGAGGGAGGTAGACGCTGGTAGACAGTGGCCTGATTTCCACGGTGGCGAGGCATGAAGCCCCATGCTCTGTCCCTGGGTCGAGAGGCATCTCCAGCCTGCAGTGTGCATGTTCTGGTGCCCCAGGCTCCCAGGGCCCACTCAGGGCCAGTTCCTATCAGCCCTAAAAGTTGGGAGGTCAGAGAAGAGCAGAGAACAGTTGGTCTATGAGCACCAATTTAGGAAAATTCTACAGTTTTGTGGGCCACGTCTGTTTTCCTTTCGGAATGAAAATAACCTCACTGAGTCTCGTTAGGCAGTGTATATACTCGTATCTCCTCTATCAACTAGAAGCATGTCAGGAGGAAGAAGGGGCCTTTTTAACCACTGCAGTGAGCTTCTGGGCATGTTTGAGCAGGAATGAAAAAAGTAGCTTTCCGATCCTTCCTCTTGGACCTCGGTTTCAGGCTGAATGTTAGAGATCCCAGGCAGGTAGCCCTTTAGTCGGTTCCTCCCCAAGTCTGGCCTTTAGTCTGCTGGTGTTTTATCTATTTATTTAATGTTTATTTATTTCTGAGACAGAGAGAGACAGAACATGAGTTGGGGAGGGGCAGAGAGAGAGAGAGGGAGACACAGAGTCTGAAGCAGGCTCCGAGCTGTCAGCACAGAGCCCAACGTGGGGCTCGAACTCACGAGCCGTGAGATCATGACCTGAACCGAAGTCAGTGGCTCAACTGACTGAGCCACCCAGGCGCCCCGCTCTGCTGGTGTTTTAAATAATGTATTAGCTGCTCCCTCATTAAAACAGCAGGGGTAACAAGCAAACAGACTAACAGACGCTTGTGCTCTTTTTCTTACAAGGGATACCTCTTCACTGCGGGAAAAAAAATTTTTTTAATACTGACGAACCAAAGGAAGGATGCAAAAATCATCCATAATCTCTTAACCCTGAGGTAGCTACAGCTACAGTTTTGATGGCTATCCTTCCAACTTTCTTTCTATGCTCATAAGTAAACATACCTTATTTTAACTAACCTGGGCAATATTTTTGTGCAATATCATTTTAATGGTTGCCTACGGTCCAGTCGTCCCGCTTTATTTCCCCAGTCCCTGCCAGTGGAGGCCGATGGGGCTTCCAGTGTTTGGGGACACATCCAAACACTGGATGTGTTTGTACTCAGCAGTACCCATGGCTGGTTGTACTCAGCAGAAGTGACTGAGTACATCTGTCCTTCCCACATCTCCTTTCACTCACTTATTCATTCAGTCTCTCAACATTTAGTGAGTACCTACTGCATGCCAGACCTTTCAGCTCCAGAGTACATCAGTGAGCAAGGCAGACAAGAATTGCTCTTAGGGGCCTCATGTCTAAGGGGGACGGACAGTCCCCTTTACCTTCTGCTTGGGTGGAAGGAAGCCCCAACTCCTGCCTCACCTTGCGACACACTCTGCCGTGTGTATCCTGATGTCTTGACTTGGGCCCCTTGGTTCTTGGCACTCTTGTGAGCACCTGATGGTGGGGAGTTTGGGCCCCTTTAGAAGAAGCTGGGAAGCATGACCACAGGGACTCTACCCCCTGACCCCTGGGACCTTCCCTTGGGCCATCCTGAGCCCTCAACTCACCCTGTTCCTTCCTCTACCCTAGCATGTGGATTGGGGCGGGAGGCAGGGGCTGGCTCCCACCTGGGGGTGAGTGTGGTTTGCTTTGTGGCTCCATGTGACCTCCAGCTAACCAGAGGCTCCTCTCCTATTCTCAGCGTCGCTGGCAGGCATGAGGCTGGAGGAAGGTGACATTGCGGTAAGGTGACTTCTCACACCTACAGGCGGAGCTCACTCTTCCTGCCCTAGGGGACAGGGGTTCTGGGCCCCAGTAGCATCTTTGTTGTCTATTAGAGGGTCTGCTGGCCCCAAAAGGCAGCTGAAGGAGGGGATAGGAAGACCTAGGCCCCAGGATCTATTCGTATCTCCTCTGTTAGAAGGTCATGGCCTTTGCTGGCAGGTCCCCTTAACAGTGGCCAGTCTTGCTTGGTGCAGTGACAGAAGGGTCTGACCCTTCTGGGTCTAGTGGGAAAGTCATTGGGGAATCAGTTGTTACCCAAACCATTAGTTAGATGTAATTGTGGTTAAATTCTAAGAAATTGGCCTACAGTTTCCATGAGATCCTAAATCTGGTTGCTAACTTTGGACTTACCTGATGTGGGAGGGTCAGAAGGAGGTTTCTCCGAGGAAGGGACATTTAATCAGCGGTCAACGGCATCAGGAGTGACATGATGGGGGTCAGGGCTGGTACAGCTGAGCAGAGAGGCGCCTCACCTCTGCCCGTTTCTTCCCAGGTCAGCCTGGGCACCAGCGACACCCTATTTCTCTGGCTCCAGGAGCCCATGCCCGCCCTGGAAGGGCACATCTTCTGCAACCCCGTTGGCTCCCAGCACTACATGGCACTTCTCTGGTAGGCTTGGTGGGGAGGAGGGTGGTGTGGGCAGGTCTGGTACCATCTGGAGCCCTCAAGTCATTGTGCTCAGCAGCTGAGACCCTGGGACTCGTTGGGTCCTTCTGACAGCAGAGCTGGGTGGGGAAGAACCCGGCATCTGGAGTCCTCCCCAAACCCAGATTGCAGTCCCATCCTCAACACCTAGATCTTGTGTGCAGATGCCACAGCACATGTGAGTCACACTTTGCTCGTGAAATGGGAAGAATAAAAGGTTTACTTCGTAGCGTTGTTATGACGTGCCTAGCACATGGTAGGCCTTCAACAAATGGTAAGAAGCACATCCTGCCTCCTGACAGTCGTCATGGAGGAGGTGTGCTCTGTACCCTGATCACAGGCCTTTGGAAACCCACTGGAAGCTACTCAGGGAAGTTTCTGAGCCTCTAGGCCCCAGGAACCATTGGAGAATATATAGGTCTGTTAAGTTTACCAGTTCTGTTCCATCATCCGGGTGGTATGATGTATAGAAGCCACAGCTCCCTGTCTCTCCCTGGTATTTCTCCCTGGTATTTCTCCCTGTCTCTCGCTGGTATTTCAGGGCTGGTTGTGGCAACCCCACAAGAGCCCAAGACCAGTGCATTTCCCTGCAATTCCGAGGGGCCTTTGCTGGGCCCGATACCTTGCGGTCCAGCCTGACCTGCAGCCCTTCTCCCTCGGATTCTTCACCAAAATATGTGGGTGCAGTCAGCAAGCACTGGGTCCCTCCCTCAGAGGTGTGTGTGCTTCTGCAGCTTTAAAAATGGCTCCCTCATGAGAGAGAAGATCCGTGATGAGTCAGCTGCCTGTTCCTGGAGTGAGTTCTCTGAGGCACTGCGGTCCACGGAGATGGGGAACGGCGGGAACCTGGGTAGGCTATTTGGTGATGCTTGGGCCTGTCAAGGGCAGCGGTTGCTGGCAGAAGGGACAGGGCCTAGGGCCTCAGGGGTATGGGGAGGTGAGGGCCATGGAGCAGCCAAGGGGAGCCCTACCTGTCTATCCTTCTGCCCCATGGGCCTTCCAGACTAGTGTGAGACCCCATGATCTGAGTAAGGTTGGGCCGTTCTCCATGCTTTGAGTGGAAGTCAGGCCATAACTGCATCTCTGTCCCCCTCCGAGGCCCTGGTGACAACATCAGGGATGGCAGCCACGGCTCCTCCTCTATCCCATTGTGTCCTCCACATGTAGCTTTCTGTCCCAGATGCAGCGTTCTGTTAGGAATGGTGGCCGGCCTTCTGAGCGGGGAGGAGACGTGTCTCCCTTGATCAAACCTGCGCTGGTATTTCAGGGCTGGTTGGGCAGCCGCCTCTGGCCCGGGCTGCAGGTGAGAGTGGGAAAAACCGTCTCTAAGAAAGTGTAGCTCAGGGCCTTTCTTTCTGTCCTGCTGGAGAGCAGGAACCAAGGGTATTCCCCTGACTCTTCTGGTAGACCCAGATGTAGGGTCATTTCACCCTGTTCTTTAATAAGTCTTTGAGAAGCTTATCTTTTGTTTTTGATTCCCGACAGTGAATCTCTTCCTGGTCTTGTTTCAGGTTTTTATTTTGACGTAATGGAGATCACCCCTGAAATTATTGGGCGCCATAGGTTTAGTGCAGAAAACCACAAGGTACGTGTGGTATTGGTATTGGAGAGAAATTGGCTCCATTTTTGAGTGCTAAATTTAACAATCGCCTATCAGATTCTGCTGCTTTAGGGACGTCATGTATTTACTCATCTATTATTAGAGCAGTTTCTTTTTAAGTTTATTTATTTTGAGAGAGAGAGAGAAAGCAGGCAGGGGAGGGGTAGAGAGAGGGGGATTTCCAAGCAGGTTTTGCACCGGCAGCATGGAACCCGACACAGGGTTCAAACCCACGAACTGTGAGATCATGACCTGAGCCAAAGTCGGACGCTTAACCAACTGAGCCACCCAGGTGCCCCTAGAGCAAATGTTTTTGATGTGCCAGAGTGCATTTTAGTGCTGGGGAATCAGCAGGATCTAAGGCAGACATGCTTAGAAAGCAGAGTGCAAATCACCTGTGTCCATGCTGACTGTCACTGAGAGTCATAGAGACTGTTGACTTGGCTGACTTAACCCTACACCCCCGAGATCAGGAATTCCTTCCTGATGGAAGGCTTCTGGGACGGGGGGCACTAACATTTATTGAGGGCTGTTTAGCTCCAAGCACTGTGCTGATGGTTTCCTATATCCCTCATTTACTGCTCATAGCCTCTTGAGGTCCAGAGAGGCTAAATCATGTGTCCACGTCACCAGGGCCTGGGTGGTGGAGGGGGGCCTCCAACCCCAGTCCTCCCTGGCCCTGAAGCTGCTGTTTTGTTTCTCCTCCACCCTGCGGCCTTTCCTAGGTGGGGTCAGTAAGTCACTCTGTCTGGTAACTGTTACAGTTAGAGTAGGCATTGGATTTGTAGCTGATGAAGCCATTCTGTATTGGGTTATAAGTGGGAAGCTTTATATAAACTGTAGAAGGAAGGAGTTCATCTCGGTTTTCTGATGAAAGATCAGAGAAGATACAGAGAAGGTATGCCTGTTCCCTTTTCCATAAACCCATCGAGGGCTAACAGGGAGAAGGTAGGGTCTATGCTGGTCACAGGGGCTCAGGCATGGGCAGAGCTTGGGTTGACACCCATCAGCAGCTGTGGGTCGTCAGCATAAGCTGTAGGCTGTCACTTAGTATCAAACACCCAGACCAGACTCTGCCGTCTAATTGGGTCATTGTAACCACCCTGAGACACAGGTACCGATATTACCTCAGTGTTGTTAAGACCCCAGCAAGGTCTGCGTAACTTACTTGAGGTCACAGAGCTGAACCCTTGGCGGCCTGAGACTAGCCCTCTGATGCTCTGTTTCTCCAGAGCAAACATGCATGAGGCTGGGAGTGTGTGTGTGTGAGTGATGTGTTTGTGTGACAGGTGCTTAGTTGGTTGAGCTGCACCGGAGGTCTGAGTCACAGTTTCTGAATCTGGGCTGTCATTTAAAAAGACCACACACACACACACACACACACACACACACAACGAAGGGAAAACAAGGAATCTTCACTCTGTGCCTGCTTTCTCTTGGGGACAGGTCCCAGCATTCCCCAGGGATGTGGAGATCCGAGCACTGATTGAAGGGCAGTTCATGGCCAAGAGGATTCATGCCGAGGGCTTGGGCTACCGAATCAGTAAGTGAGCTGCTCGTGGGCTGTGTCCTGGGGCACGGACCCTCATACCCTGAGGTGTCTGAGACCCTTCCCAACCTCCAGGCCAGGCCTCACAGATTTGTTGTGGCTTCATCACAAGGGCAGGAGGGACATGGAGCCAGGCCCCCGTGGCGGGGGGTGAAGGTGAGTCAGGAGCGCCTGTGGGCAGACAGGGACTAGGAGGCAGGCTATTCTGCTTCTCTGCTCTGTCCCCATGAGCCTGGCCTCCTGGTGAGTAGCTATAGCACTTGGAGACCTTTCTGTAACCTGAATTTCCAAGATGCTCCAAGCTCTGGACCCTGAGGACATGGGCAGTGCAGGTGGGAAAGGCCTAGGTGGGGTCCATCTGCCCTGGGGGGGCCCTGTCCACCACCGCGGCTCCATCGGGGACGAATGGGGATACAGAACCACTATTGAAACCAGAGGTCTGGAACGGAAAGGCAGAGCGGGGTGGGTTGGAGAGAGGGGCACCTGTGGGGAGAAAGGGATTTCTAAGAACTTGAGCTCCGGAATGGGCAGCTGTAGGTCCGTGAACTTCCCCTTAACTGCTGGCACTGGAGTGGCCTGGGGCGGGGCTTCTGCCGGGAGGGTGTATTTGTCCCTCTGGGCACCTGAAGCCTCTGCTTGAGCTCCAACTCATGATACTTTTATGGACAATCTGAGTTCTGTGTCGTATGTTTTATGTCTTTGAACCAACCAAGTCCGAGGATACTATAGCAGTAAGCATTAGGGAAGCCTTTTTGAGAAGCTGTTGTGCAGCATCTACTAAAGCCGCACATACACCTTCCAGCAGCCTCGCCTCTTGGCGAATGCATAACAGAAATGTGTACACGTGTTCTCTGAAGACGTCCAAGAGAACATTCATCGTGGCACGGTGCTTAATAGCCCTGCACTGGAACCCAATGCCCATCGATAGCAGGCAGGATAAGTGTGTGTGGGGTATTCATGCAATGTGATACTACACAGAAACGAAAATCAAGCAGCCCCCACTAGCTGCAGCAAAAGGGGCAAATCTCATAAATGTAATTCGGTGGAACAAAAGAAGCCAGACACAAAAGTGCATGCGGCAGGTTCAAAACCAGACAACATGATTTGCAGTCACTGGAAGCCAGGACAGTTAGCAGCTACCTTTCAGGAGAAGGCAAGAGAGGGCCTCGGGTGCTGATGATGCTCTCTTTCCTGAGTTACACGAAGTGTGTTGAGTTTGTGAGAATGTCAGGCTGTCGGCTTATGAGGGGTTACGTACATTTTTCAGGATGTATGTGTGTTCACCACAAATTTTATTTATTTATTTATTTATTTATTTATTTATTTATTTATTTATTTATTTAGAGAGCATGTGTGAGCCAGGGAGGGGCAGAGAGAGAGAGAGAGAGAATCCAAAGTAGGCTCCGTGTGGTCAGCATGGTGCCCAACGTGGGGCTCGAACTCCCGAACTGTGAGATCATGACCTGAGCTGAAACCAAGAGTTGGACACTTAACTGACTGAACCACCCAGGCGCCCTCATCACAGATTTTCAAATAAATAAAATAAACATTATACACATTCTCATTTCTTTCCATTGCATCCCTCAAAGCGTAAAAAGAAATTCCCTGAAGGTCTCCAAAGCTTCCAGAATCCCCAGAAAAGAGGGATCGGTGAACAGGGCGGGGATGGTGCTGAGGTTGGCACCCAGTGCCTGGCACGGAGGGTCCTCCAGCCATCAGGAGGGGACACGTTGTGGGGGGCTGTCCCCAACAGTGTGCAGGAAGCGGCCGTGAGAGCAGAGAAGTCCTTCCAGGCACCGGAGGGCTGATGGGATAATGTCATCATTCCCAGCCTTTAAAGAATTTTTGGTGCAAAACCACATAGAGTTACTTATCCTCTTAGCAAAAGCTTAAGAGCAGCTATCAAACCTGTCTTGCCAGCTCTGCTGGGCTCCTTCCAAATAAGATTACGTAAACGAACATGCTTGCAACCAGAAAGGGCTGCACAAACACGAGGCATCATTCTCCCCCAGCTGTGGTGTGGAGTGACTCGTGTGCTTAGGGGACTTGCTTCTGTAACTCTGTTACCTTCATGAATTCATCCATGTGAATTAGCGTAGCTGTTAGTCGTTCCTTCTCACTGCACTGGAGTATTCCATCACGTGCTTGTGCTACGATCGACTTCTCTGGTCTTCTGTGGTGTAGGTTTGCTCTTGCCGGTTCAGTATTAGGAACCGTGGGCTGCTCTCAGTCTTGTAAATGTCCGTGGCTGATTCTTCCTTATTTCGTCTCTTCTGTGTAACAGGTGTTGGTAGTAAAGTGACAACCTGAGTACGGATTTTGTTTCTAGAGCCTGTTGCGTTTGGCTAGCACAGCGTTTAGTTATTCAGTCAAATACCTCTGCCCGAGCGGGTGCCGGTGCTGCCTTACTCTGGCCTCATGGGCTCCGTTACTCCCTTCTGGCCCTGCAGGCATTTCCACCGTTGGCCCCTGAGCCTATAGGCTCTACCTCTTTTTCTAGTAATTAACGTTTAAAATTCCAACATAGGGGGCACCTGGGTGGGTCAGTCGGCTAAGCTCAGACCATGATGACACAGTTTGTGAGTTCCAGCCCTGCACGGGGCATGCTGCTGTCAGCGCAGGGCCCACTTCAGGTCCTCTGTCTCCGTCTCTCTCTCCCCATCGTGTGCGCTTGCACACGTGCTCTCTTTCTCTCTGAAAAATTAACAAACGTTTAAAAAATTTCTCAAAACAGATACTCACATTTATTGCTTTTGATCAGCGTTTAGAATTTATGTTCTACTCGGTGATGATGGTCTCCACTGAAAGACATTATGTTCCCTCTCTACTCTCCTGTCTTTACCTCCCATTTTCCAGTTCCAGAAATGTTACTGTTCAGTGTGCATTATGCATCAATAATTACTTAAATTATACACTTGGTTGCTTTCTTTGATTACCGCTATTAGATCACACATCTAAGTGGTTTTGTATTTGTATTTCCTCTTTGCTTCAGGACATCCTTGACCCTTCTTTCATGTAGATGTGGGAGTGTGGGGGGTGCTCTCAGACTGTAATAAAATACTTTAATTTTGCTTTCACACTTAAATAATACTTAACTGACTGAGCCACCCAAGTGCCCCTGTCTCAAAATAAATAAACTTTAAAACGAAACAATGTTTTGTCCTTTTCTGACTTTCAGTGTTGCCAGTGAGAGGCCCATCTGAATGGTATTTTTGTCTCTGCAGAATCTTCTAGAATCTTTTCTTAGGGTTTTGAAATCTCTCAGTTAAAGTTTAGGTCTCAGCCTTCTTCCTTCATTGTGGTGAGCACTCATTTCATTAGACTATATCTGACATTTTCTAGCTTGAGGAAATTTATCACATTATTTCTCTGATGATTTCTTTCCCTTCATTTTCTCTGTTCTTTTCACTAGAATTCGTATTGACTGGTGGTTTTCAGCAGAGGCAGTTTTGCCCCCCAGAGGGTATTTGACAATATCTGGAGACCTTTTTGGTGTCGCAGACGGGGAGTGCTGCTCTCGTGGGCAGAGGCCGGGGTGCCACCGCCCATTCCACAGTGCACATGCCAGCCCTCCACAGCAAAGAATTATCCAGTCCGAAGGCCACCTGTGCCGAGGTTGAGAGACCCTGTACTGGACCAGCTGTTGGCCCTCTGGCCCTAATTTCGCTTTGCTTTGTTTCACCACAGAACTTGTCACTATCATGCTCTATTTTCTAATTTATCTACCTGTTTATGGTCTGTCCTTCCTCAACTAGAATGTGAGCCCCCGGAGAGGAAGGGTCTCCTCTGTCTTGTTAGACCACCTGTTCCCACCTCTTAAACCACTCCCCGGTGGTAACTGGGCTCTCCCTAAATATTTGTAGAATTAATAACTAAAAGGATACTTTTCTCAACTGTCTTGGCTGTGGGTTCACAGTACTGAATGAGTAATTGGGTCTCAGTCTCGACAGCAAGCCTGGGTTCCTGTTCAAGTGCAAGATCCCTTCTTAACCCCGTGCCCCCCACCCACACCCCACCTACCCCAGCAGGAGGGCAGCCTAGAGAGGCTGTGACAGTAGATGGGGTGGCAACAGACACCAGATTTTTTTTTTTAAGTTTTTATTTATTTATTTTGAGAGAGACAGAGACAGTGCGAATCGGGGAGGGGCAGAGAGAGGGAGAGAGAGAATCCCAAGCAGACTCCACAGTCAGTGCAGAGCTCGATGCAGGGCTCGAACTCACAAAACCACGGGATCGTGACCTGAGCAGAAACCAAGAGTCTGACACTTAACCGACTGAGCCACCCAGGCTCCCTGACCACAGGCAGATTTAAGTTGAATCTTCTAAGCATGGTACAAGCTTAGAAGCTGGAGTCCTCTCTACAAAGGCTCTCCACATGCCGCAATCAGCAGGATTTTTTATTCTGCTTAGAAGGTGAATGTAGGGTATTTCTCTGATGGGTGCATGTCTGTCCCTTTTCACGTCTGCCCTGGCAGCTCAGTGTTACTCAAGTTCAGCTTTTCCTCAGGCCCTCCAGGCACCCTCTGCAGGTACCACCTCTGGAGGGCAGGTCTTTAGCTTGAGGTCAGGTGCTGCTGCTGCTCATTGGAAGTGGGTAGACAGAGAGGCTGAGTCTCACATTTCTGAAATCATTGGTCTACCCTCAGTGCATCCCCACCAACACTTAGCATTAAGCACCTTTGAATCTTTCGTAATCTGATGGATGGAAACTAGTATCCCAGTGTTGGTTTAATTTGTGTTTTTCTTCCTTAATAGCGAGTTTGAACAGCTTTTGTAACTTTGGTTTTTCTCTCTGTGAATTGGCTGGTTATATCCTTCATCATTTTCCCCGTATTGTATTTCCCTTCTTATTCTTTTCTTTTCATTAATTTTTTTAACAATTTATTTATTTTGCGAGACAGAGACAGAGCATGAGCAGGGGAAGGCAGAGAGAGGAAGACACGAAATCCAAAGCAGGCTCCAGGCTCTGAGCTGTCAGCTCAGAGCCCAACACA